TTCGAAAACATAATGAAATTTCTAAATTAGCTATTCCAATTTTTAATATTTGTAAAAGTGAAAAATTAAAAATTAAAACTTATCTTAATGCAATTATCAATAAATTATTTAATCATGAAACTACAGTTAGGTAAATCTATATAGCTGAAATAGATAAATAATATATTTAATTTGTAGATTCTATTCTTTAAAACATTTCAATAATTACTAATAATAGTAAACCAAAATGGTAATGGCAATGGAAAGATGTTACTAACTTTGTTAATTATAGTGAGGATATCAATAATTAAATTAATGATGCTTATGAACAATTTTAAAAATCAAACTAAGAAACAACAATTAGCCTAAAATTTTAGATAGAAAACAAACCAAGTACTCATTCTGTTGATTTAAAAAAATTAAAAATAAGAGAATTATCTTCCAATTCTGAATCGTAAATAATTTATAGAAATTAAAATAATAAAATAACTTATATTATCAACTATTAAGAACTGGATGTAGAACTTACTAATTATTTTATTAATATGTATAATAGAGAATGCTTTTAATTTGATATCTTTTGGAAAAATTTGGATGTAGTAATCAATAACTAAGGCATTTATTAATTAAATACTAGAACTTAATTTTAGAGGCCTATATAAAAAATTCCTAATTAGTAAGACAATATGGAGTCTAAACAAAGAATTACACAATTTAAAATAAATTATAAATATGAAAGTTAAAATTAAATTTTAATATAATCATTTGATAGTAATTTAAATGATTTGATTTTAAATGAGATTAAATAAAAATTATAAGAATCCTAAATTAGTTTAAAAATAAATATACCTTCATTTAGTAAAACATAATCTTTAAAACTTACTGAATATTTAGACACCGTGGCTTAAAGAGTTTATGGTAAAGTGGTATCAGGATAATTAATCAATATTCAAGTTTTCAAAAATAAAGAAAAAAAAATCTTTAAATAATTAGATTTAATAAAAAGTTTTGCTTATAAAGAATACCCAAAAGAATGGATAGATTAAGATTAAAATTTCATCAAAGTTCAACTTGATTAAAATTCATCAGAATATCAAAAAATTAAAGGCCTATTTGAGAAAACAGACAAAGGAACTATTAAAGCTATTTTTAGAATATAGAATAAGACATTATGGGATAATTATATTTTAGAAAGAAACAAATTAATTGATCTTTGTGCAAAATAACGAAGATTATTACTTCCATAAGAACAGGAGAGATATTTGTGGCATGGAGTATCATAATAACATCCATCAATAATATATAAGAGTTTGGCAGAAGCCTTTGATGTTACCTTCAGTAGAGTAACTAATTTAATTTATATTAGGTTGGATTGTGGGGATAAGGTATTTATTTTGCTGAAAATGCTTTTTACTCCAGATTTTATTCTTATAAACTAACAGTTCAAGATGATTCTAACTATGCAGGCAATCTTGTATTTTTATGCTGCTTAGTTACAACGGGAAGAGCTGAATAAAAAAATGAATGTAAAGATATTAAAAAGCCAAGTGATGGATATGATTGTGTTACAGGAATGGCTAAAAATAGCTAAATATTTATTTTGTATTAAATGCATGTAAGAAGGGCATACCCAGCTTATGAAGTTATCTTTTAATGAATAAACTTTTATTTTTATGAAGCATGATTAAGTCTTTATTTATAATAAATTTCATAAAAGAAATATGGTTGATATTTTATCAATTTTAATAAAAAGTAGTTTTTAGTTTATATATTATAATGTTAATAAAAATAAAATTTTAAATCTATTTAGCAGGTTATTTAAAATAGAATTAATTAAATATATATGAATTATCATGATGATCTTAGATTATTCTAATATGCTTGTATTTAATAATTCTAATTTGATGATTATTTGGAAGATGTAAAAATAAAAATAAGTAATATTAAATTAAAATTGTTAATATTAATTTTATTATCAAGAAATAATGACCAGAAACGATTAAGAACAATGATTTTAATTATTTTTATCTTATATTTATTTTTGTTTAAATTAGATTTAATGAATATTCTTCCAGTTTTATATATTTTCTGTCAACAATTTTCCTATAATAAACCTATAGAACTATCAGAAAAAAGCAAATATTACAAATTATTAAGTGTTTTAATCTCATTTAAAGATAACTCAAGTATGAAATTTCTATATCAAACAGCATTTGACTACCTAGCTCCTTTAGTTATAAATTTTCTTGAAAAGGATAAGCTCTCTATTAAAATGTTTTGAAAATTATCTATTTTTGGCCCAGATAAATTTATTGATGACATTTTGAATTAATTTGAATTCAATTCCTTTGTAATTAAAAGATCTAATAATGAGTAACTTCACAGACAGAAATATCTTTGAAAACATGATTAGGTTTCAATCAAAAAGAAATGTTTAAAAAGGAAATTATCTAATTCGATATATATGCATAAAGAATTGACTTTATTGTAACTAAAAATGGATTTTTAGTCAAGTTGAAAAATAAGCCTTTCCTGTATTGAAGTAAATTATTAAATCAAATTCATTTAAAAATATACTTTTAATAATCATAACCTGCATCAATTTAATATAAATTAACAATCCAAGTAATTAGAGGGCAGCCTAGGTATCTTCTGTGAAATAAGGAAATTCAACATTAATGATATTTTAATTATTTATGAGTTATAAATTTTCATGATGTAAAAATAAATTTTTTTTCTTCCAAAAGTTCATTTAATAAATAATAATTCTTTAATTTTTATATAGTTATTATAAAATTTAAATAAAAAATAGTTTTAAATTGAAATCAAAGACATGAAAAAGGTTTGAATTATTTTGTTCAAATATTAGTCAAATAAAGTTTTTATGATAGACTGTTTTTTATAGAAAGATTATGACGCATATATTAAAAATTCCAAATCTATATTGAACGAAGAAATTATAAATATAATTATTTATGTTAAAAAGAATAAATGCAATTAAGAATAATGATTAAAATTTATGAAGAAATTTATATCAAATTTGTTATAATAAATTATCAAATATAAATACTTTTTATATTTTTAATGGTTATTAAATTACTTGATACTACTTCAATCTCAATAATTACCCAAATTTACAAGGCCTTTCAAGTGATTGATTTACTTTTCCTTTTAATGATTTTCATTAGATTATTATTAAGATTATTGATTTTAAGTTTGGATTTGTTATTAGAATTTTGAAGAGGGGTTTTCGCATGATTAACTCCTTACGATTTATTGTGCGCCTTATAATTACTTCTATTGAACAGATTTTTAGGATTATGGTAACTATCCTTTAGGAATAGAAACTTCTAGTTTTTGTTATGTAAGATTTTAATATTGCCTTAAAATATTGTAAATAAATACTTTGCTTTCTCTATGACATCTTTATATGAAGGGACTGTGTAGTGGTTTTATGATTATATTTGGTTCACCTTTTGGTCAATAAGTTGCATAGAAGAAAAAATTTGAGATACAACTTAATTATCAAAATTAGGAGTGATATCCATCTCTTCAAGACGCTAATATGAACTAATAATTTTTTCTGATAAACTATTCTGTTTATACATTTGGAGATAGATTGAATCTTTAACATTAGGTGGCAAATGAGAGACCATCTCTTTAACTTTTTATTTTTCTTTAGAAATGAATTATTAATAATTTGAATTTTTGTAAGTTTCTTATATATCTTAATGAATAGTATTTGATAAATTTAATTAACTTATGACTTTATTTCTGCATAAAATAACCATTTCATTATTTGGATCATCTTTGAAGTAATCATTTACAGTTTATAATGAATAGATGAGGTTTATCAAATTTTAATAATCTTCAAAAATATAATACTATATTAAAGCTTAATCTTAAAGTTATTCTATCTTATCACATTATTTTTATTTCTAATTCATCATTTCATTTCTAGAGTTTTTTTTTTTTTCATTAACTTAATACTAATTTGATGTTCTTTATATATTATTTTTCATGAATTATAAATAATATAATAAGATTTTTATATGTTATAATATCTGAGTTAAATAAATAGAATAAAAAATTTATTCTATTATTACAACTAGATTTAATATTAATAATAATAATAATTGGTTATTTGTTTTTGTAATTATGTATATTTTAATGATTTCTCTATAATTTTTATCAGAAAACTATTTCATCAGCAATCATTACATAATTCAATATATTTATTAAAAAATCTATATTAATTTCTTAACTAATTAAAAGCTCCAATTTTTATTATTAAAAATGTTAAATAAAAATTATTATTTAAAAAAATAACTAAATTATATTAAGTTTCTATTAAATGCAATTAGGCTGAGGATATATTAAATTATTTAATCAAAAATTACTATATTTCTAATTAAACCACATATAAATCATTAAATTTGTAAGTAATTGTGTTTTGTTTTAATGATTTAAATATTTATTTAGTGAATAGATAAACAAATATATGTAAATTATAGATCCCAAATTTAATTGATAATTAAAAAGTAAATCAATTATTATTTTGGTACCTTTATGGCACGCATAAGATATTTCTATCCTTTAGGAGTTATAGATTGAATTTCTGAGTCATAATGAATTGAACTATCTTAAATTAATATAATTCCTTTTTCTTGTACTTATGAGAGTACTTCGATTAAATTCAGAACATATCAATAATCTCCTTATATTAAAGACTTCTCTATTTTTTAAGTTTGACAAAATTCCTATATTCCAACTTATACCTATAATTACAATGCAATAAATTAATTTATTATTTTATTATTATAATTGAACATTTATCAGTATATATATTTAAAAGACTACAAAGCATATTCTGCCTTTGTATATATATATCTATATATTTTTAATTGAACTAATAATTGACTAAATATATCATACAAACTCTTTCAGCATTACGATATTGAATTAGGTTATAGAATTCTCTTTCACAAACTAAATAAAAGATTTATTATATCTATTTTATATCATTATTAATAATAATTATATTTATGTTAAATAGCAATAATAATAATAATAATAATTTTCTTGCCATTTTTATATTCCCCACGATAGGTAACTTATTTCCAACTAGATTATAAATTTTATCATACCTATAAAACCAATCATTCACATCAATCCATTTTCCCATTTTTCTTCCATATTCATCATATAATCCACCACCCCTTAAGAAGCTAAATAATATTTATACAGCTATTCAGTATTTAAATTCGATAGATCAACTCCCCAAAAAATGTCCCATAAACCAAATTTTTTCCCATCTTTATATTCACCAATATAAATAATTTATGAGTATCCTAATCCGTCCCCGAAATTATCACTCAATTCTACCCATTTTCCAATTTTTACACCTGATTTTTCATCATATTATCCACCTCCTCTAAAATTAAATTAACAATATATAATCCTCTTACATGTTTTTGAATTTTTTACTTAATCCTCTATCTCTATAATATGCATTCCAATTTCCAACTTTTAAGCTATTTTTATACTCACCAGAATATATGACCTAAATATATCTAATGTATAAAATTAAAATATATCAAATACCTACTCCTAGAAGGTCCATCACTTAACTCTATCCATTTTCCAATTTTTTGCCCATTTTCTCTCCAATCATAAAAGCCTCCCCCTCTAAATAATTATTAAAATTCATATTTTACATCTCTTCATTCTTTCCATTAAACTTAAAATAAGTATTCCATCTACCAACTTTAAAACCGTTCTTATATTCTCCATAAAAAATGACTTAATTATGTCTAAATTATGATTATTTATTTTCTACTCCTAAAATCCTTCACTTAATTCTATCCATTTGCCAATTTTTTGACCGCTTCCTAATTCATCATAAGAACCTCCACCGCTAAAATAGTTGTTGCAATTTATATTTACATCTCTTCATTCTTACCATCATAATTCAAATTAGTATTCCATCGACCAATTTTAATACCATTTTGATATTCTCCAATATAAGTTACTTAATTATCTCTAAAGTAATAATCAATTAGAATATTTATTTTACACATAAAACTAATCGCAAATATCTATCCATTTTCCTATTTTCAGACCGCTACCTTTTTAATCATAATTACCACCACCTCTAAATAGCATAATAAATTAGTATACATTTACGCTGACATTAAATTCTCTGCTTTATTTCTCAAATAAATATCCCATCTACCAATTTTATTACCATTTTCATACTTTCCTCGATAAGTGACTTAACTTAATCTTATTTTATGAATAGTATAAATTCAATACTCCCAAAAATTATCACTCAACTCAATCCAATTTCCAATCTTTTATGATAGTTAATTATATTATCCACACCCACTAAATGAATTTTAATAAAAGTTTATTACATCTCTTCTTCCTCAAAAATACTTTTCCAAATTCCTATTTTTTTACCAGTTAAATATTCTCCTAATTCATAGGCTTGGGCATGACTATAAATTTTAATATTATTATTATTAATTACCTCTAATAATCTTATATTAATTCTTTCCATAAGCCTTATTTTTATCCTAATTCTGAGTAATAACCTCCGACATCTTTTAAAGTTTGACCCTTCCATCTTGCTGACCATCTTCCAATTTTCTTACAATTTTCTTATTATCCAAACCATCTTAAATGTTATACTTGTTCTAAATTAATTCTAATTTCAGAATTTTTTGATAAATCCTAAATTTAATCACTAAATATTAAATATTATTCATTCCTTACGTGCCAAGTATCTATCCATCTAGAGTTGAATAAATTATTTCTAATTATTTTTTGAATGTTATTAGAAAGTTAGTTTTCATAAATCCTCGAAAGCTTTAATTCCAAATTAAACATTCCAGTTCCTCAGTTCTTTCTTCTTAAAATAAATTTGCTTTTAATTCTTTTTTTTGGTATATCATATTCTAAATAATAATTTAAATGTTTAATTTTTTTATGATTTTCAATTTATTTATTGAACTTCGAATTTCAAATAAATAAGAAACCTATTTTATTCCATTTTAATTAAATAAATTTTATTTTTTTGATAAATTTAGAACTTGTAAATTTTAACGATAGAATTACTGAAAAAACTAATATAAATAACAAAAAAACCTTCATTTAGAAGCAGACTTAATTTCATATTTTTTGGATTTGCTAGACTTATATCAATTTAGATTTATACCAAAAATTGATTATAAGCATATTATCAACAATATGGAAAATTAAATAAAAATTGTATTTTATTTTATTACAAATCAAATGCATAAATCCAAAAAAAACATTATTATATGATGGATTCATTTAATAATAATTTAATGTATTTATGCTATTTCTTAATCTCATAGTTTAATTAATTTCTGATGGAAGATACTATAAATATCATGCACTTTAACTATTATTCTTAATTTAAAACACACCCTAAAAGAAACTTCTCTTAATTAATCAAACTTTATAATTAGAATTCCTAGTCTTTTCTCAGATACTATTTCAATTATTTTTTGTAATCCTTCATCTTTAATGTAAGTTAATTAATACAGCACTTTCTTTTTAATTATTCCATTAAACATCCTCTTAATACCAAATTTACTGATTAAGATTTTGCAGCGAACATCTGTTTTAAATAATTTTTTGATTATTTCATTTGATTTTGAAATTAAAATTATATATTTCTAAAATTGCTTGGTTCATAAGCCAACATTATAGTTTATAGTCTGCTACAGAAAATTAAGGTTCTCCTAAATAATTTATAATTTTATATAATTTATGTATATTAATTAAACAATACCCCATTAAATTATAAAATATTATTAACTTGTACTTTTAATCTATTACTAGTCATGGAGGATAATGTTGAGCAATTCAAAATAATAAACACTTTAAGAGTAAAATTAATTATTTTAAATTAAATATTGTAATCTATTTTCACCTTCATTTTCTTTCAATTGCCCTGATGATAACTAATTTTACAGATGTGAATTAAATAATTATTGATTATTATTTAAAGCATTTAAAATTAAATTTAAATATATATCATATACTATTCTTTAATAGTATTTACAAATAATATAATTAGATAATTATATTGTTTATTAAATTAAAAAAAAAATAGTTATTTTCATTTTTTTTAAATTTTTTTATATTACCTTACTTAAATTTCTAATGATTTTAAATCCCATGTAATCATATATTCACCATCTTCTGATATTGTGCCATAAATAGATGATGTTCCAAAATCAATCGATTAATCACAAATGAAACCACCATTCTCATCAGATTTGATTAGATTTACATAATTTCCATTTTTACTTATCAATATTTATTTAGATGTCACATATTTTTATGGAAATTATGAATTACATTATTTGCTAGATTTAACATTTATTTTTTTAGTATTATCAAATTATTTTGTCTTAAAATTAAACTAATATATAAGTAGATTATTTTGGCAATAAGGTTAGAATGCAAATTAGTTATTATTTACATAACATAATCTTAATCCCCATTAATCAACTGTAATCTTTTAGATCTTAATCCAAACCTTTCCTTTTTGCTAACTTAATATTATTTGATTATCTTCATAACCACATGAGATTAGTTGATTTTATTCTGAATTCAAACTTAGACTTTATATACTACCTGAATGTCCATTCAAAGTAAAGTAACAATTCCAATTGATTCTTTTTTCCCAAAATTTAATTGAACAATCAGAACTTCCAGAAATAAGGATATCTTCATTTTCACTAAGTTCTAAACATGATATAGCTCCAGTATGACCATCTAATTGTTAAGAAATATGCCATAAAGAGTTCTTTTAATATTACCATATAATAATTGACTGATCACTACTTCCAGAAATGAAATAGTCTTATTTTTTCATGAATAATAAGGTATTTATCCATAATCTATGATGATCAAGTGATTAGACCAATTTAAATTATCCAAATTTAAAATCGAATACTTTAATTAATCCTGTTGCATAACCTGTAATCATTATGGAACACTATTTATTTAATGCTATTGCATATAATTCATCATCTTTTAATGAGTTTTCTTTCATTAAACTCATGGAAAATGGAGCATCCACTTCTTTTTTTTTAATTACATAATTTAATTCTTATATTTACATATTGAATAAACACTTTTCAAGAGATTTATTAAGAGCAATAAAACTTTCTTAGATTTAATGAAAAAGTGTTTTTCTTTGTGCTTAAAATTTGACCATTTAATTAACTACTTAATTAATCTATATTGGAGTTAGTACTTTTAATTTTTCGAATGGAACCTAGTATTTTTATCTTAAGTTCTCTATTAATTAATTAAACTGTTAGGTAATTTAACTATATAAACGATCATATTAAGAAATTAATATGTCACAATCTTTTTATACTTCTGCATAAAAATCACGAAAATGATTAATTGATTACACATCTTCAAAATGATCAATATGACATTATTTTCCATCGAAATTACATTGTGTACATGAAAATCTCATTTCTGTACATGCTTAATTAAGACAATAAGTATCTACTATTTATGAATGATTTAAATTTGGACAAGGTATTAAAAATTTATTCATTAGAATAAAGTAATTAATTCAATATATATCATATTAATTATATATTACATTAAATTACTTTCAAATGATAATTTAATTAGCTAAGTATTTGAAGGATAACATAAAAATAGATCTGAAACGAAAATGAAGTCGAGATAATTTAATTTCATATAATTTGATAAAGCCAACCTTTTAAATATTCTAGATATTTCAGTTTTGCTTAATTTAATTATATATTTTAATAAAGAAACATCAATTGATTTTACATTATTATTTAAAATTTAATTTAAGTGAATAATTCAATCAAGTAAAATATTTATGATAAAAGCTAATCTATATTACTTCAATCATCAATTTTGTAAATCTATACTACAATTAAAGCTAAAATGTTAATGAAAATATTTCTTTTATTTGAAATTATGTAATTTGTGTTATTGTAATTATCACTGAAAGAACAAATATCCTAAAATATGGATTCAATTGTTTTATTTTAAAATGGAAATATTAAATCTTTTTATTTTATTAAATAATATATTTTAAGAAATTAATTTTTTTAAATGTTTTAATATAGATTATTAATTTTGTTTATTTTAATTCGTTTCTTTTTTTTAAATTTTTTTCATATGACAAATAGCAAGATCGCAACATAATTTTATTAAAATACATATATTCAATGTCTGAAATGTAGTTTATTTAAAAAAAAAACTTAATGTATATAAAATCTGAAAAGATGTTAGTTTGTCAAATAATTTCTAATTACCTAGATGTTCAAAATCATTATTAAAAATAAGGATTCTTATAAGGCATTCTATTTTATTAAAAAATGAGGTATTTAATGAATTGATAGAAAAATATCTTGATATTATATAAAATATTTATGGGATTTTATGTTGTTTTGTTGTTAGAGGTGGTTTACGGTTTAAGTGTATTTAAATCGGATTAGTGTTTGGAATGTTCTATACTCATTAGAAAAGAGGATTGTGAATATGCAAATTGTTTTTGGAGTTCAAATGGTGTAGATAATGAAGGGACATGTAATGATAAAGATTCAGGTGTTGATCCTGGAAATTCTGATGGGAATTTAAGTTTTTGCAAGGGGATACTGGATCCAGAACAAAATTGTTCTAAAGTAAAAGGATGTGCATATTATAATTCCAGTTGCACTATTTTTACAGGTTGTTCTGCTTATTTTTTCCATACAACTTTAGATTGTCAAAAAATATCTTATTAATGTATATCTGAAGGTGATGGATGTATAGATGCAAAAAAATGTGATGAATATTTAACTTAAGATATTTGTGAAAATTCAGGAAGTTCGAGTGGTATATATAAATAAATAATATAGGTTCTGGTAAGTGCAAATGGGATTCTGTAGTTTAGAAATGTCGAGATGAATTGTGTAGTGAAGCAGACTTAGTTTTGAGTACTGATAAAGAATGTTCTAAATTTGGATTTGGTTGCATCACAAAAGGATAAGGATGTATAGAGAGTCCTTTAAAGGAATGTAAGACATATGAAAGCACAAATTAAGATTGCAGTAAATTAATTGGATCAGATGGTTAATGTGAATATTTATAGGGTAGTTAATACTGTTAATAAAAATAATGTGAAACTGCTCCGATTACATATAATAAAAACGAAGAATGCGATAAGTATTTGAGAGGATGTATTACAAAAGGGTAAGGTTGTGTTTAAAATTTATAACCATGTAGTAGTTATAATAAGGATTGTACAAATTATATAGGTTCTGATGGGATATGTGAATATGAAGAGAATTAAGAAATTTGTAGGAGTCGTATATGTGAAAATGGATAATTCAATTCAGATGAAGATTGCAATCGATATAAGATTGGTTGTGTTACTAATGGAATATCATGTGTAAGTAGTTTACAAAGTTGTTCAAGTTACAAAGGAAATAAAACTAGTTGTTTGGGATATATAGGATAAGATGGATAATGTAAAGGAATAGATGATAATGAATAGTAATGTTAAGTGTAGGATTGTATTAAAGATAGTAATAGTAAATATGTTACGGATGAATAATGTTCAAAAATATAGAAGATATGTAAGACTAATGGAATGGGATGTGTATACATATTAAAATTATGTAAAGAATATGAAGGAAGTCCAGAGATATGTTTATAATTAATTGGATCTGATGGAAAATGTTAAGGAGATGGTACAGATGGTAAATGCAAAAGAAGATCTTGTTTAGATGCTCCAAGCACTTACATTACTGATTATGAATGTAAGAATTTTTAGTAAGACTGTGTAACAAATGGTAGTGGTTGTATTGATTAAACAAGTTGTTAATTGACTGTTAAAGAGAATAGTTGTTAAGGTACTACAGGATGTTAATGGAAT